TATTATTAATCTCAATGTCGCTGTACAATGTAAATTATGTTAATTCCTTACAGTTATAGCTATTAAAATGTTTTATATAAATATTACTATAATGTTAGGGAAAATATAATCCCCTGTTTTGACGTTCAGACCTCCTAAAATAACCACATTTTCGTTTCTGTTATAGATCTGATTTTTTTTATTACGTCATAAAATAATTCTGTTTTTTTTTTAATTTTTCTCTCGCAGTAATAGATCATATATTTGTACAACAGTTAAATGTATTCAATCTATGTTAGAGCTTAGAGTTTGAATTCTGTCACATGCATTTGTTTATCCAATTTCCTGTGTATGTGGATTTAAAAATATTCGCCCCTTAATGCAAGATGATCACTCGTATGTTTTACAAAACATTGCTTACGTGGTCCATTTTAGCTGCTAGTTTATTCAATAAATGTACAACGGAAGTCAATTCCAAGCGCAAACTTCATAATTTGATACAAATATCAGTAAGTTATTTACAGAACGATCGGGCATGCTGCAAATGGCAAAACTGCACGCGGTTTGGCCTCCCACGAATTCAGATTTATTACTACAATTCTGTAATTATGGCGACCGCAACTTTCTCTGACGATTTAATAAAGAAAAGAGATTATTTAAACGCTGGGTTAGTCAGTCAAGAACTACCATGTTTGCATGCAACCCAAAAGTTCATTGCCGCGTTCAAAACAGCTCACCACTAAACCCTATCCACTCAATAATGCTTCGTCTTAAGGTTCATGACTCCATGAAGTCATCCAAGTGGTCTGTTTCCTACACGTTTTTAAAAATAAATTCTTTGTACCAATTTCTCATCAATCTAATTCAAATAATGTTAATTTTTCATCACAAAGTTTTCATGTTTTCTGTAATACTTCCTGAAGACCCATTAACATTGCTGTCCTAAACTTCTGAAGTTGCAAACCTGGTCGCCATTTTGACCCGAGAGTGTTCCCTAATGACCGCATCGTTTAACCTCTTAAGATAAAATCAGTCTGTACTGTCTCGCATCAACACCGCCGCCATCATAAATTAGCCGTCAAGACTTGACCGGGATAGCCCGAAGCTTGCCTTAACAATTTCGTTAACAAATCACACAGCGTTTAATGACAGCGGAAGGCAACAATTTCAAAAACTGTGAGGGGGCAAAAGATTTGGAAAACTTATCTGAAGTTACCATTTCAGCATCCGCCTGGAGATACTGAGGAAAACTACAAACGCCTCGGTAAGATGGTGTACGAGGTGCGATCGGAAAGTTTCCAGACTGCGCCTATAAAAACCCGTACACTTATCTCAGGTATTAAATTCATCACCCTCGAAGTAGTTCCCCTGGGAGTGAACACAACGATTCCAGCGCCGCTGCCAAGCCTGGAAGCATCCCTGGAAATCTTTCTTTGTCAGCCTGTCAAGCACCATCTGCGATTCTGCCTGAATCTCTTCTATCGTCTCAAATCTCCTTCCCTTTAGCTGAATTTTCATCTTTGGGAAGAGGAAGAAGTCACACGGAGCTTAAAAAGGAAGTTGGGGTCGGTTCTTGCAAGATCTTGGAGCTCCTGACAAACGAGAAGTCGATTCTGCTTCTAGTCCTCTGACAGGATGCGTCGCATGTGGAGTTCTTCCTTTAGAATCAGCTAACAGGTCCCATAGCCTATCCCAACAATGTCGCACAAATCGTTGATGGTACGACGTCGATCTTCGTAACAGTTTCGGGCGTTGTGCTCGAAGATGGTCGTCCAGAACGCTCGTCATCATCGACAGAGGTTCGGCCATTTTTAAAACGTGAATGCCACACAAAAGTTTGTGCACGACCCATTGCGGACTCCCCAAATGCTGGCTTTAGCATTTCATAGGTTCCGGTAGCCGTTTTGGCGAGTCTTTGGCAAAATTTGATGCACACGCCATTCCGAAATCGCAGGAGGGTCGGTAAAATGCACTACCAAAACGCCCGTAACTAAGAAACAAATGCTAATTCGATGATGCCGGCTGGCACACTGATTCACTATGAATGTAGGCCGCACCCCCCCTAGCGGCAGAAGCTCGTACTACATCCGGTTCGCACTCTATTGACACAGTCTTGAAACTTGCCGATCGCACCTCGTATAATTTCTAACCACCATTTCAACAATTTGTCAAAACTTAACACAATTTATACTAGAAATACGTCGTCTAATTACACTGTAATTAACATGAGGTAGTCAACGCCAACGGAAGATCGAGAAACTCGACGAAATACTTACCGATACATAGCAATCCTGTTCTTCCATATCATGATGGTGGTAGCGAGCGTCTTCTTGGTTGCCAGAGTGATGGTACAGATGTTCTCCATGCCCCTGTCTAGCTCCACTTGGGGAACATCATATTAAACTGCTTTCTGAATCTCAACTACGAGCCTAGTTCTTCGCCGCTGCACTAACCTGCTTAAAATAGGGTAAAACGACGTCAGTCAGATACTTAAAAACGAAGAGCGAAACAAGAACGATGTACTTCGAGTTCTCTGTCGCACGTTTCAAGATGCATGAGCTGCAACTTATCGGATAAGAACTTTTCAATTAATTTCTGTGCTCGATATAAAAAAGAAAACTCAATTTTTCATAGGTTTGACCGTCGTCTCGCTCCATTTCGTCCAGAGGCGAGACAACGCGACAAAGAAAACTCTGACAAGAACCATCAAAGCAAATTTCTTGCAATCTCTGCGCTCGACACAAGGCACCACCCTTTGTCAGCTGTACCAGACTATAGCCTCCATTGAGGACGTGAGGACGAGAAACGCTTTGGTTTTTGATCACCTCAGTTTTGTTAGGATAGTGATGGGATGAACATGCAGCTCGAACTTTGTTGGACATCTTCTTGAAATAGGACGTAAGAGGTTATCTTGGCGGGGGAAAGGATGTTGTGAGGATTAAACTGGCTCAGGATCGTGCCAGAATCAGCGACTTTAACAGTGTCGAATATGCGGATGACCTCCATTGACTCCACTTTCTCGTCTAAGGACGTGGCCCACATTTCGGTTCCATTGCTTTCGCCAGGCCGGGCGAGCGCCACAGACATTGACCGTCCGGCGAGCCTAGGCGACGGAACGCAACGCGAGCAGAAATGAACGAAGTGCGCATGCTCATCCTTGTAGTCGTATTGTCCGTCCTCGTTTTCATGTTCATCAGCCTGGTGCTGGGTGATCAGAAGGTAAGTAACAATTCTATCACTGTCAAAGTTCCTCACCAAACTTTTGCATGCATTACTTGCTTTCCCTGCTTCTCCAATCTTCAGAGGAATCGTCTTAACCCATGGGCATTGAAGAATCTGTTCTTCCCTCAGAACACGAGGCCAAAATTCGCGAGTCTAAATGAATCATGTTTGTAATCTTCGTAAAATAACAAAACGTTTTATGATGTCTCGTGAAAATCGTACTTATGAACGAGCTTTAGAGCGCATTATCGTAAATTCACTCACACAAACAGAAATATAATTTAACATTTCTGATATGAACTGACAAGACGAAAAGCAAAACATAACCTTGAAATAAAAGCTACGTGGAATGCGTGTGGCATGTAGACCTATGCACCACGTACAGCCAAGTTATGCATTACAAATTTTAACATGATTTTCGGTTAAAAAACCTATTATTTTTTAAATAACGTAAATTAAATAACAAAATACAAAGTATAGTTCAAAACGCCATGATATTTTTAACTAATTATAACCTCTAATGTAAACAGTCGTGCAGATTGTTATGATCAATTTGTGAACTGCGTATTTGATTCCTATTTGTGACTGTTCAGCGTGAGCGTAATTGATGTGACTGCGATTTATGGGATTGTCAGGAATGTATGAACAAATAAACGGGTATTGTGACTGTTAAACCTTAATGTCCTCCAGGGAGTAGAGTACTTCTTAAAAATCTAGCCGTTGGTCGACATGTAAAGAATTATCTTACATTTTATAGAATATGAATATCAATTACCGCTCTAAAACTTCTTGACGATGGTGAAGAGTCAATTGAATAAAAATTTTCTTGGATATTATCCATCGTCTAGTAAATATAAAACGTAAAAAGGACGTTTCGGAGATGGGACTCTATCTCCGTCTTCAGGTTCCTACACAGTTGGGCCCACTAGATAGAGCTTGTCCGGAGATAGGGATTAGCTCTATCTAGTGGGCCCAACTGTGTAGGAACCTGAAGACGGAGATAGAGTCCCATCTCCGAAACGTCCTTTTACGTTTTATATTTACTAGACGATGGATAATATCGAAGAAAATTTTTATTCAATCAATTACCGCGAAGAACACGTCCTTGAAAAAAAAATATCCAGGGCCAGATTAATCCTGTCCACACCCTCACGTCCTGTTTCTTTAACTTTCATTTTACACTGATTTCTGTGCATCTATGACTAGGTCTCCCAAAAGGCGTCTTCGTTAGGCTCAGCTCTTGAATTGATCCTAAGAGTGCAAATTACCTCCGCCTCCTATGCTCCAACATGCACAAGCAAACGAGATATGACGCCTCGTGACGTCATGCAGTCTTGTAGAAACTTCCGAGCATCGAGGTCATTAAGACGAGTCTCTCCTCTCGATCACATCTTTACCTGATCGTATTTTTGCAGGTTGGACAACTGCAGCGCAGCTGATGAATTTCCGCAATGAAGCATGGCAACGTTGGAGCTAAGAGACCACCTGACCTGATCAGCAATTGGCTTTACTCATGACCAGTCCTCTGTAATCTGTACGTTGAATACCAAAAAATTGAAGTTGATGGTCCAGATTTCTGCTTATGAAGTTGCCACTGTTTTCCAGAAACAAATTCCACTTCAATACGCATTGTAAATGTGATCCTGGGAAACCAAACTTGGGTTCTCATAAAATATGGAGAATTTCTTGACTAGCTGAGCAACTGTCAGCTTCAGAAGCCTGAAGACGGACTCTCCTTTATGCAATTTATAGTGATGGTATTTTTGCGACACAACGTATCAGACGATGACTGATGACAACTACAGGAAATCTGAAATCTGCAAATTTTAACCCCCCCCCCCCCCTTTTCAGGTTCATACAATTATTAACGTAATGCTGATTGGTTACAGGATTTTTTTAAAAAAAAAAAGTCTAATTGCTAAATTAGTGGTAACGAAACTCACCAACATATCTTGTAATAAGAAAAAAAAAATGTACTCGGACACGTGACAAATAAAGTGTGGAACCTCAAAGACGTAACCATTACTTTACAGCACAGCCTCGTGGACACTCCGGTTCCAATTCAACACTCCGAATATAAAGTGCACTGACTTGATCCAAAATTTTTACCAGTCTTGTTTTTAAGTTCCATGAGTGACGTAGCAATATCCACAAGCAGCAGAGCGAGTTATGCAGGATGCGTTGGAACGGGAAGGAAACGCTTGTCAGGTGGGGAATTTGGGCGAGGCACTGTCCAAGCGCAGGACAAACTTTCTACAAAGTACATCTGACGTTAAATACATTTCGGTTTGTTGCAAGAAACAATCAGAAATTCTCAATTTCATGTGGTAAACATGCCTATGATTCTCTTTGGGGTTTGAACGCCTTGTTGAATTGTAGGTCATACCATCTTCACGGCCCAAGATGTTCCTGCGAAACGTTTACGTCTAGCTACAAGTACACATGGACTTACAGTCCAGCAAACAGACATCGACAAATGTCTAGCTACAACTACACATGGACCTACAGTCCAGCAAACAGACATCGACAATTGACTTACCTTATTAAAAAAAAGCTCAAGGACCAGAGGCCTGAGACAGACAAGGGATGTCGTGTATTATGTTGTTATTAAATGTATTTCAACTGTCCTGTGAACCTTAACCTATCAGCCTGGTTACAATAAACAAACTTTTGTCCCAAAGGTTAGCTCAGTTTAGTCTGGTTCTCACAGGCTATTGCATTAACATACCTTCCTTCAACTTCGTGGTCTGCATACAGCAACGATGGCGAAGTCTGTACACAATACTGAGTAGAATCTGTTGCCTAAGCCATCGTAACTTTCTGTCCACGCAGGTTATGTGATGATGCCTTAAAACAGGCCACAAATTACTCCTAGTTCATAATCATGATATTATCTCACCTGTGCAGTTGATAAACTAGTGTTAAATAAATGCAGAAACGACGTTAGTAGATAAACAAAGGAACAACACCGCTCAGTGCTGTAGGTCTTGCGACGTGAGATCCGGCAATCAACGCAGTCTGGTGATAAAAATCAGAATCATTTCTGTGTCTCAGCGTAGCGAAACGGTACGTAAAAAGGGAAATTTTCCTGCACATTACTTGTTCCTATGCTCAAAGTGCATTTTCCGTCAAAACATTTTGATCTCACCTTCTCTACATTGGATAATGAAGAGTTATTTTCAAATTATTATAATTTTTATTTCGGTTTTCAGGAATTTACACTTCTGTCTTAAAATTAGAATCTAGTACGAAAACACACCACCTTCTGGTTCATGCTCGTTATGTTAATTAATGGACAACATAAATATTATGAAGAGATACACGGACACGTAAAAGTCTCCCTATTGAGTGGTGCTGGTGGTACGGTGCATCTTCAAAGGCGTCTCAGGAACGGCAAGAGTAGTTCTGCAAGCATCAGTCTCGATCTGGAAAACAAAGTCGCACTGAACAGCGAGATCTTTCCGGACAGGTGGCAGAAATGTCTCTTGAAAACAAGGCTGCTTAATCACATAGGCTGTGACACGTGAAAAGTATTATTATAATTTATAATTGTGCGACTTTTACAGAAAGAAATGTAGTAACTTAAGTGTGAACAGGCTCCCTCATTACAAACTTCACGTACCATTTTAAATTGCAAACAAATCGAAATATATGCACTAGGAATGAACAGCACATCCAGATGAAAAGACTGGCTTTCACATATTAGTTGTTTGCTTCGATCATACACAGAAAACAAGTTAGGAAACGTGTGCATAAAGCAATCGTTCGCCCTGTAATTATCCCTGTAGCTTTCCGGGGACTAAACATTACTTTTGAGTGTTTCGAATGGCACCGGTGACGTCACAGTTGTGTGGGGGTCAAAGATTTAAAACGCCTTCGCTCATCTCTGGGGTTAGTGATGACGTATCACGCGGATTCCCCACTAGTCGCTTTGGCGCCATCTGGTTAAGGAACTCCATCGTGGGGGATTCCCCATCCAGTAACTTCCGCGGTCAAAGAAGCGTCAGGTCTTTTGTGTGGAGTTGTCCGAATTTAACAAATAATTGGAATGTGATTTGAAGAAAACTCAACAAGATGAAATGTCATGAAAATCCGTTCAGCGGTTCTAAATACGTTAAATACGAACAAAACACGGGCAGATATGCGCGCGCCCACCAAACCCGCTACTCCACTGTTTCTCCAATCCCGCCTAATAACTGATCCGAACATGCAGACCTGACTCGGAAACAAAATGCCTACAGACTACATCTGCTTCAGTCCCGCAAACACAAAAGTCCGCCTATTGTTCTGACCCTTAGCCAGTTCGATGAAACAAAACGCTAAATCATAATATTACTGTACCATCTTTGTCTCAGCATTCCTTCTGACGGCGCGTCGAGAGACTCTTGTTGGTCTCTCCATTCGAACTGCTTAATAAGTTTCTAATTTACTTATTCTAAAGCCCCGACATTTTCAAACACCGGTGTTTTGCGTTCTTTCCTGGGCGAACAGACCGTGTGTGACAACGTTACGAAATAGACCGGAAGTCACACACCGATTTTAAAATTATACAAGCTCATATTTTGTAAATATCTTTTCTTTAACGTACCAATAAGTATAACTTTACAACTACAGCCCTTCCTAGGGCCAGAAAGTCGGGGGCGAAAGCCCCAGGTCCTGCAATTGTGTACCGTGATATTTCTTTAATTCGATGGCTTCCATTCTGTTGAGCAAAGTTCATTGTTACAATTTTGTTGTTAACAATAGTAACTAAAAACAGTTGGCTAATTCCGCTCATTGTTTTAGTGAGATAGCAGTCACTTACCCTAAAGGTGTGTGTTACAGTCAACAAATATTATTGAACGTGTGACATTTAGTTTCATATTAGTACGGAAAGTTTGGTCTATTTTTATTGTACTGTTAAGTATCATGCTGGTTCCGGCACAGTTGTCTGAATGCTCCGGTAATTGTAGCACGCTGAAAGTGTGTCTGGTCTATGTAATTTGAACCGACCTTAACATCATAGACGTTCCTCTACTTACTTTGACTTCGTGTCTGGCTTCTGACTTCCTTGCTTTGGTTTACTTTCTGTTGTCAAAGTTACGGCTGAAGTTGACTCGGTCGAAGTGTTTCCGAGGTCAGCTCCGGTTGTTCCAGGTGAAGAAGTCGCCAGCCCAAGCTGTTGCAACACGGACTCATCGGCCGCACTCGCCAAGGCCACGAGAGCCTCCAGGGGCGCATGCACTACTATCACGTCGTTGATCCGTACGCGGTAGTTCTCAGTCCCATTTTGTCGTTGGTCGTATACGATTTCATTATCAATGGCAGGAGCACAGAAAGATGAACCAGTGAAAAATAGAAGTAATAACACCGACTGAGTGCTTACTACGAGTATATCCTTCATTTCAGAAGCCATCTTTGTTGCGAGAGAGCAGTTAAGGGATGTTCTTTCACTGCGAGCTGAATAAACACAAGTTGAACATCCAGGCCCTGCCCCGTGAAGCTACAGCTGTGGACGCAGTTCATCTGTACATAGTTGCCAGAATGCTTTGTTGTTGCACAGAAAGTACCAGACATGTTTCTGGAATCGTGCTCTCACGGTTGAGAAGTACAACGCCCCCAGGCGACGGAATGTGCATTTCGAATGCGCTGCGCAAAGCATTTGCTCACAGGGCGAAAGGACACAGGAGTCCGTTGACTCAGGTCCACTGATGAGAACTAGAAGACGGAAAGTATTCGGAAGGCCCGTCCTTCCGGTGACCTTTTTAGCCTTTAGGCATCTTGAAGCTCTGTCGGGAGCGAATGTCTGTCAGTCGTTTTACCTGCGGGGGTTGGCAAGATGCATGACCACGGGTGTGTTTCTGCGCATCAACTGGAAGACAGGTCGTCGTTGAAACGTGCTGTTGCACAAGCGAAACCACGGATCATTTTAGTGCACACACTAGTTAGACAGCTGAATGATACAAGTCTAGACGGACGATTCAGTCGACTCAGAACAATAGTGTTTCAAAAAAGTCTCATGTTGGAAACCCTACACCATAATCATTGATCTTTTAAGATCTTACTATGAGCTATTAAGTCTCTTGAGCAGAATATAATACAGTGAGATAGATTCAAAAAAGGCTCCTTACTTAAACAAATGGACGATCTGCAATATTTTATTAGAATCTGTGAACCACTCATATATCCATGAGCCGGGATAGCTCAGTCAGTATAGTGACTAGCTACGGGCTGGACGACCGGGGTTCGATCCTCGACGGGGGCAGAGGATTTTTCCTCTAGCCTCTGCGTCCAGACCGGCTCTGGGGCTCACCCAGCCTCCTCTACAATGGGTACCGGGGTCCTTTCCCGGGGGTAAAGCCCCCATCTAGTGCCGAGGTCAAGGAAGAGAGGAGCTATACCTCCACTCACCCCAATGAAATTTACGGCACGTAGCGGACAAACTTTGCTTTACTCATATATCCACATTGCATCTCTGCAGTGGTGAAAAGTTCCTTCAACATGTCTTCCTGAAACCAAAAGCCATCCCAAATTCCCGAATTTGTGGTTCTGAAAACTCATAGACAAATATGTTTCCCCCAGTAACAGGCTCTGGGTCTGAGAAATTCATTTCAGACATGTCTTACTTCAATACTAGATATTTATACAGACAATAAAATAAAGATCAAATTTAATTCCAAGTTATCTGTATCTTCACCAATCAATCGTGGGTGTCCACTATCCCCAACTTTGTTCAGTGTATACTTGAATGAAATACAACATGTTTGGGAAACAGAAAAAATAAAAGGATTTCCAATCTCAAGAATACAAGCTTAAAAACAATTGACCAAGTACTAATCTCAACTTCAGGAAAAGATTTACAAATATCAATTTATAAGATGAATAAGTTAATAAATAAATACAGGGTGACGATCTCAACAGAAAAGACAAAGACGATGGCATTCTGTGGCTGAGAACCAGCAAGAAGTAAAATAGTAATAGACAACAAAATTATTGTACAAATAAACACTTTTAATTACCTTGGTTGTTCCCTATCATATGAAGCAGAAAAAGACATAGATATCAAACTTTCAGAATTCCTGAAAGTTACTGGCCTTATCAGCATGATTTTTAAACCATCAGAAGTCCAAAAACGAACTAGAATAAAAATATATAATACTTTGGCACTACCAACAATTTTATATGGCATTGAAAACTGGACAATGAAAAAGAGGACAAAAACAGAATTACAGCTGCTGACATGAAATTTATGAGATGCACTGCAAAGTACACTTGGATGGCCTATAAAAGAAATGAAGACACACTTAAAGAGTTAAAAACAAAACCCATTTTAGACAAGATTTTGAAATATAAAAACAATTGGCTTCAACATGTTAACAGAATGCAGAGAGACAGACTTCCCAAATTATTAAAAACTACACACACTGTGGACAAAGAAACCCTGGAAGACCACAGAAGAGGCTTTTAGACTATGAGACCAGAACAGGTCAATAAGACCAAACTCCTTGACTGTTTGATGATGATGAAATAGGTTACTTATGCTTAAAATAAAAATAAATATTACAGAATTATTAAAATTGTGATTTTAAGCTAGTTT